GAGAGAAATGGGGTTTAACTTCCACCCGACACAAACTAGGTAATTTTGGTTCAATTTTATTCCAATAATTCGCTTGCGTGTAGTGGTCTTTAACAGTGGGAGGAAACTGGAGGACCCGGAGAAAACCAATGAGGTTGGACAGGCCACCCTTCTCCTTGTCAAGTACAACCGTGGAATCTAAACCACGCCAGTGGACTCAATGACAGACCTTGTGATATGCTACCCATTCGGCTACCCAACCCCCTATAAGAGAGTATTTTTAAAAGAAAGAAATTAAAAAAAATAAACAAATCCAATTATATAAATTTCCTCGTACACAACAATACCATACACCACTAGTATTAATGAAAAACGTATATAATAATAATAATAACATCATCATTTTTTAAAGTGTATTAATACTGGAGAACGGTTTCTAATGTTCTGTTGTGGTTCTTATATTCACAGAATACATGTATTTACACAGAGATCAGGTCTTGTGCCCATATACACTGTACAAAATTGAAAGATATATACCAACCAGTAAATAAAAGTACATATAAGAGAAAAACAAACAGTAATTACTTAAGTAAAATGGTTCTAGTAAAATGAATTAGAAATGAAATGGTTTAATGAAGATGGGCATATGCGCCATACAGTGTGCTATAAAGCAAATTTTGCTTGGGCACAGCACTATGGCCTACGTTTATATCAAATTACAACTGCCAAGGGATCGTTTTACGTGCACACCAATGTATACACAGGACCTCGACTAGACTTCTGTCCTTGTGCCTTACATATTTAAAATATGTAATATTAAAAAGCCGCTTACAAAAATACATGTATACAGGTGTAGGCCTACTCACATAATTTCATGAATATCATCATCACTATTAAAATCAATGTCACTGTCAGCATATTTTTGGCTGTCACTTTTATATTCGAACAATATACACAAAACCATACAAGAAAGTTTTCACTTGTAACAAGTACATCTATTACTGATCTATCTGTAAAAGTGTAATGCAGCTTGATTTACATTCACGTTGAAAATTTTGTTTGGTGCTTGATCTCTAGTCACTCTAACCCTGTCATTTGTTCAATAGAGTTTAACAAGAGGGGTTTAAATTTCCACAGCTACAGTCAGGCAACCTGGGAGGAATGCGCCAGAATATGCCCCCTTTTTGACTGGTGATGCAAAGGCAGAAATAATTCTTCATACATATTTTTTTCAACAAAAGTAAGTGCACTTGTACCAACTCATCTATTTCGGTTCTAATTTTCTCCATAACATGGGGGTTGGATGGCCGAATTGTTAGCACGTGCGCACTGTATCATAAAGCCTGTCATTGAGTCAACAGGCGTGGTTTAGAATCCCCGGTTGTACGTGACAAGGAGTAGGGTCGCCTGTCCAACCTCATGGGTTTTTCTCTGGGTCCTCCCCTTTCCTCCCACTGTTAAAGACCCCTACGCGCAAGCGAATTATTGAAATTAAAAAAAATTAAACCATATGTTAGTCCCAAAATGACCTAGTTTGTGTCGAGTGGACGTTAAACCCCATTTCTCTCTCTCCATAACAACTTGTTGGGTATGAGTACTGCACATTGTATTTCACCTCAATAATGATGTCTTTGACTGAGTGGACTTCTCTATTGGTCAGGGTGGTCTTGGGCGGAGTAGTCCTTGGTCTGGGTTGTCATGCATTTGGGAGAATATCTTCATCAGCTTGCATTTGCAAGAAAATGGGGAAAATGTTAAGATATGATCCGATCCCCTTAAACAAATTAACCAGGCCAATTATTTTATTCTCTTTCTCTTTTTTTTTTTGCTGCTTGTTTCTAAACATCACTTTCTTCAACAATTTAGGAATCGTGATAATGTTTCATACACAGTTTGGTAACGTGGAATGTGATAAGTAGGCCTAGTAGCCTCTACCATACCCCAGTCCAGTGAGAGTTTTGTCTGCACATTCATGACTGTAGTTCTGATTCAGCTTTGTCCAGCAAATCGGCATTTGTCTCCGGCACATTTCCATCTAATTTGATCCACTGGTTAGCACATACCTTAAATTTTTCCCAGCTTGTCGCAGTGAACGGTTTTAGCTCACTGTTTTAACAAAATGTACTCAACATGTACTCGAGCTATGCAGTTTTACTTTAGCTATTCTTCTGCCATGTACCGTTAATAACAAAAGGTAAACAAAGAGCAGGTGACCTTTCACCACATGACCTGTTGAACTTTTCGTCGTGTTTGATTGGCCAATTATGTCACGTGATCTGTCACGTGATCTGTTTAAACCGAGTCACCGCGAAATTCAAATACCATTGCACATTGACAAGTAAGCCCATATTTAATTTACGTTTTCTATTAAACGTCAAAGAATTGATAAAATAAAAGTTGTGTGACAATACAAAGTAATACTAGAAGAATTAGATGATGTAGTTTTTTTTCACCCGAAAATGGTCGGGACGGAGAAACAGAAGCAAGCTAGCTAGAAATTTCACACCACGGCCTATATGATATGTACACTGATCCTGGTGTTGGTCAAGAAAGCCACCCGGAATTTTTCAGCGTGGTTTCTATCTCTCGGTAGTGCAGGACAGCGTCTAGTAATGAAAATGGGACAAAAACACATGCTCCTGTGTACACATTGGCGTGTACATAAAAGAATCCTTCACAGTTGAAATTCGACGAAAAAATGCAAATGTCCATTGAAAAATTTCCGTCATATCATTCTGCATAGCGTATGTCCGAGTGGTGCAGAGTAGGAAAATAAAATGAAATTTGGATGATTCTCAATCTGTTTCACAGAGTATTACGAAAATCTTCTAATATCTCTGTAAAAGATGACTGCCTCCAATACATGACGTCATATTACGCGGCGTCAATCATTGGCTCAATGGCGCGTACATTGTTTACCTTTGATGTTACTGGTTCGGGCGGAATGGGGCCTTTTACTCATTTTAATACCCATTTACACTAAATAGGAAATAATTTTTACGTACAAATACTTCAAACGTTTTTATTTATTTCACTAATACACAAAAAAAAAATGTTTTAGAATTTAATTTGTCGGATGAAAAAAGTTAATATTTGTGGCTCATTAAGTCGCATCGATGTCATCCTTATCAGTGATTGTCGCGGCCTAGCGAATATTCACTGCGGATCAGCGGTCTAACGAATATTCACTGCTGATCAGTGTGGAAGATCCTAATTTGCGCTCTATCGTGACCGTCAGCTAAATGAGTCCTCCTACTCTCAGGTTCAACATCATCACTGCTGGTCGATTGTCGCCAAGCTTTACCGCCAATACGGCATTTATATTCCGTGAATTATAAGGAACAAATGTATCCGCCGGTTTTATCCCTGTCCATGTTTAGAGCAACGAGGGGGCGGGAAGTGTTCTCAGGGGTGCTGTCTAATTGACAAACACGGTATTTCTATGGGGTTTTATGAATGACAATTATTTCACAGAGTGGGGGTGGGGGCGAAACTTTTCGCAGGGGGAGGGGGGAGTCTGGTTATGGGCTTTGCCATTTATGCAAAATGGGAAAGTTGGAGCATGACACCTCTCGATTTTCATCATTCACTGTTGGTCCGTCAAGGACGAACTATATCGACAATCTGCTTTCGGAGTTCCGCGAATTCCAACAGTCCAGATTGTTTTTATCCCATCTTAAAATGTGGAAATACGTGAAAATCTGGACTGAAAAGTACCGAATGTTCCGGGCCTACGCCAGGATTCGAGACATCCTGGTTGCAAGTCGAGTATCTTAACGACCCACGCCACCCTCTTTGGAAGGACAATACTTCGCTTACACAAAAACAAAATAATAACTTTATTCACCAAAGTATTGTCCGCACAAAAATAATTCTATTTAATGGTGTCTTTATAGTGATAAAATACCGACAAATAATGAAATTCTGATATTCGAGAATGGTGAAATAAACGATAAACAGGGTGTGGTTTCTTGGTATTTTTAAACAACGGTAAGACAATTTTATTCCTTCGACTCGACTAAATATCACCTCGTATGCCTTTAATTTGTTTGTGACTATACCACCGAGGTTGGTTTAATATGTCAATGATATCATGGCGTCAATATAGGTCAATGATGTCATCTGTAGACGTGAGCTGCAATATTTCCGTTCACTGCGTTATGAAGATAACTATTCATCAGGATGTATATGATTCACAATTTGGCGACCATCAAACGGAAATAGTTAAAGTCGATATCTTTCTATAGTCTAAACCTAACCTACAATCTCACCAACAGTCACGTGCCCAATATTTACATATCAGCGATTTTGACGAAAATTGAGCTGGCCTTAACAATGGGTAATGACGCTGCTTAGTGACGTCATCAACACTACAAAAAAAATTTATCGAGTCACCAAACTGAAAATTCCAATAGTTTGCGTGAATCGGTCAAATGTTTTCGTAAAGTGCTTGGAGATGCCTGTCAAATAACTTTTAGAATAAAAAACATAAAAGTAATCTGTATCATAATTATTACAATTCCATTAAGTGACGTAATCGGGGACATTATTCTATAAACTACTGGAGCTTAAACTGTTGTTAGAATTAACATGCATATTTAACAACTGGTATTGGAATTAATATGCATATTTAACAATTGATATGGCTGGGTATTCGTATGTAAAGAAAAATAACTAAAAATAGTTATTTAACGACCATTCGACACAAACTGGGTCATTTCGGGACTAAAATAATAATATGGTTCAATTTTATTTCAACGATTCATTGCGCGTAGGGGTCTTTAGCAGTGGAAGTAAACCGGAGGACCCGGAGAAAACCGACGAGGTTGGACAGGCGAACCTACTCCTTGTCACATAAAACCGGGGAATCGAAATCACGCCACTTGACTCAATAGAACAAACCCGCTCAAATTGAAAGTTTGTATCTTTTTTAAGAATATGAGTCATTCGAGTGGCAGGAGAATTTTACTGTCTAGATAAAAAGTGGGTTACTCGCGCTGGCTATTTCCGCTGGATAACCAAGTGTAAAGTGTTGTCGCTCCACGAGGTTTTATCCGTGTCACTGTGAGGAAGAAAAGAAATGGATTTGTCTTGAAGATGAAACGACCAACACGTCATTAAAAGTGTATGATCAGAAACAGTTTCGTATTTTATACTCTATAACGTTTTATTTTTGTTTCTCTCTGTCTGTTCAGAATTTTTCTTACTCAAAAATCTCGACGCCATCAAAATTTGAATGGAGTTGTTTCCCTTCACCTACAAATTTTAACAAAATGTAAGTCGATAATTGGACAGCCTTAGAACCAATATCTCTGGGCCAATATTGTCCGTCTGGAACCTAATTAAAAAATTAAACCTGTATAAAACTTTAACAGTAAAAACAGTACTGATATAATTAGTTATTCATGCCCAACCATTAGTAGGGTGGCCCATGTACTCACAGAAATACAGTCCACCGCTGATAGTTCGAGACTACCACTGAAGCGTGCACATTCGCCGTGCCGAGACCAACTTTCTGACAGTATGATACTATAAATAGCCATGGCACGTGCAATTCTCTACAAATCTATCAACTATTACAGCCGTAAAAAAATTATTGTTGACGATTTTGGATAGCAGTTAAATTAAGCTTCTTGGTTATTACGGCAGATTTAGAAATTACGTTCGTTCCATTTTTTGAATCGCTTTATCATTAACTGTACCGTTAAGAGCGGCATCTTTTGGTTTAGTACAAATAATATATCTGAATCACTCGGGTTATGCAGGAACATGATACTAGCAGTAGTTTCATTTTACTTTTACAAGCTTCTTAAAACGATTGTTGAGCTACCTAACGTGCTTATTTCTAAATTCAATTTCTTGTTCTAGCTTTCTGTTACGTTTCGTAAAAAAGTAGTCTTGATTATCACGACCTGTCAATCAGACGTAGAATGGTCGATAGACTGGTTAAGCGAGACTAATTTCAAAACAAGGGCACGTAACCTATCTTTTACTCAAAAGTGTCTGGATGTTATGGACGACTCTTGGAACCAGTTTTCAGTCTATTATTTATACATGATTAATGGTCATAGCTTATTAAGTACAACATGATCGTTTATTTAGTGACTATAATTGTGTGAAACTGATTTGAGGCTTGGCATATATATAAATATTGTGGCGTAATTGTCGAGATATATGGAGATATTTATTTATGGTGGGTCACCCTACCATTAGTAGGGCTACCATCAAATTAAATGGTTTTGTTGAGAATTATTCATTCTCACAATTAACAAGCTTTGGCTTTGCAATTGAAGATTAACAAAAACTCAGAAGAACAACCGTATCTAAAAGTTATATTTCAGTCGTTAACTACCAGAGTCCCTGGTGGCTATGCGGGTAAGACGCTGGCTTGCTAGCCTGGATGTCGAGTGTTCGATCCCTGCATTGGCCAAGAAAGTTCATCCAGATTTTCCAGCGTGGTTCCCCCTTGTCAGTGATGCAGGACGGAGGGCCTGACAAGGACAGCTGTCTAGTCATTCGGATGGTACGAAAAACCGAGGTCCTGTTTACACATTAGCGTGCATGTAAAAGATCCCTTGACAGTTGGAATTCGATATAAGAGTAGTCTGTAGCGCCGCTGGCCGGGCAAAGATTCCCTCATAGCACACTGTATGGCATATGCCCGTCTTTATTAGCCCAGTTCAGAGCAAAACAGTAGGATTTAAACCCCATTTCATTTCATTTCATCAAGTCTGCGGAAGAAGTGAGACACCTGACACCTCTATTATAATAAAACCAAAACGCAGGTCATGATTTTGTAAAGCTGACAGATTATATTAATACTGTAAACATCTGACAGATTATAGTAATACTGTAAACATCTGACAGATTATAGTAATACTACTGTAAAGGGGATGTGATCCTTGTATGAGTTTTTAAGTAACCTATGTTAAGTGTAATAGTTAACACATAATTACTATCAGGTTGTATCCTAGCTGTCATCATTTCTAGTTACCTGCCAAGATTCTTTAGTAGAATTCAGGGGGGTTGGATGGCCAAATGGTTAGCACTTGGCGCTGTATCATAAGGCCTGTCATTGAGTCAGCTGGCGTGGTTTTGAATCCCAGGTTTTACGTGACAAGGAGTAGGGTCGCCTGTCTCCAACCTCGTGGGTTTTCTCCGGGTCCTCTGGCTTCCTCCCACTGCTATTGAAATAAAATTAAACCATATGTTAGTCCCCAAATGACCTAGGTGGGGAGGTTAAACCTCATCTCTCTCTCTCTCTCTCTCTCTCTCGTAGAATTCAATGATATTTAGAAAAGAGATTCTAAGCAGTAAAAATTTTAGAGCGTAAATGATAGAAAGTAGATTGCTTCTTACAAATACAAGTCTTGGCTGTTTAAATTATGGACTTATCTTTACTGCTGTCTTTATTCCAGGTAGAAAACTTTAATTTATTAAGCCAAGATGTTGAAATAAAGATGTTAAACCCACTTAAGGCCAAAATATGAGTGTAAATATACCAGCATTAGCCGTTCTGGCGGTATTTTATATTATTATACTAGTAGTTGGTATAGTAGCTGGTCGTAAAGTCAAGTTAAACAACTGTAAGAAAGGATCATTGGAAGCCAATATGGTTGCAGGTAGAGATCTAAACGTGTGCGTTGGTATATTTACAATGATGGGTAAGTTTTTATAAAAATAAATACTTTACCTTTGGGAATAGACTAAAATGGGGATGTAAAGGCCCAGTTGACTAGAATATTTAGCAATTAAAGGATTTCAGATCATATAAAATAAAAAGTAGATTGGTACAAAAGCTTTTATACATAATGTGTTGTGGTAATCTAAAGTTCACAAATCAGTTATTTGTTTTAATTTCACACTGCCATTTTTAATTTCTTGTAATCATTTTTCAATGTCTGAACAATAACTGATTTTTATTTGCAAACATCAAGACCTACATTTTTTTGTTTTAGTCTTGAATTATATTTATAATAAGACATTACCGCACCTTTAATTTTGATAGAATTAGATAATGTAAATGTTTATTAACACATGACAAAATAATGTGGAATACAAGTCACTTAAATGTTTATTTGCTTGATAAAAACAAGAGAACCCTCATCGAAACGTACCATGAAATAAACGGTTCCAAGTAACTTGTATTCCATATAATTGTGTCATGTGTTATTCTCATCCAGTTCCATATACATGTAATTGTGTCATGTGTTATTCTCATCCAGTTACTAAATGACGCTTATACAATTTAAAGATGCATCATGGAAGTTTAGATACAGAACTGGTAAATCGCACTATAAATGTTTACAACTGGATAATGTAATGGGAAAATGCTGAAAATTTCAGTCAAATTGCTTCACTCTAAGCTGAGAAAACCTTATTTTAAAGTCATTGCTATCGCTGTCATGATAATTAACAAAGTCGTGATTATCTATTTTTGCGGTTAATCATCAATGAGCATTGAACAGCAGATCGGATTCAAATCCAATGAAAATTGGACACATAAGATGGCATCAAGAGTTGATTATGATCTTGCCATGTTGATAAATGTCTAATTAAAGATACATTATGGGAGATTCGATAACGAGTTGGCAGTTCTCACTATAATAATTAAAAACTAGATAACGTTACGTAAAGGCAATTTGCTGAAAATTTCATTCAAATTGATCCACTATGAACCGAGAACTCAGCGAATAAATTTTCTGCCTAGCCTTGGTCATCATTACTTAAAGTAGCTAAGTCTCTAACTCAATATCGTCCAAAACCTTCGACAATGAAAACGCGAATTATTGGTCAATTATAATCAACATTGGTGTTGTGATCTTACCGAGAAAAGATGGGCTTCTGATATCCAATATTTAAGACAAAATAAACATTTTACGATTGGTACACGAATCGTGTACCATAATGCGTTTCGGCGCAATTTGTAACAAGCGACACGAAGAACGATGTTAGACACATTCCACAAGTCATGTCAAACGGTGACCTCATATTCTTATCTGGAGAGCATGCGCAATAAATGCTATCGGTGTAGACTGGAATAACCAGACGCTAGAGATTGACACTTCTGGCATATTTCGTCAAACACAACTGCTTTGAAATTAGAGTAAAAACGGAAACGATCGAATGTAAATCAGTTTATTTACATTCATATCACATTATTATATACGTTGCGACCCATTTGTGTAAATTTGCAGGTGCCAAATATTAGCGATTTAGCTCCTTTAAGTCAGTACATTAAACAGCATAGTCTCGATTATCCATTTAATCGTTTAATCGAGAAAGAAAGTTATGCAGTAAATCGGATCACAATCCACTTACGATCGCAGGCTAACGATGCCATCTAGAGTTGATTATGGTCTGGATAAGTTAATTATTAATAATTTAGATAACATTTCAGGCCTAAAGAAAGACCTGCAATAGACAGATTTAGCTCTTGCATAATGTATGTTTAATAATTTAGATAACATTTGAGTTCAGGGCGAAAGAAAGATCTGCAATAGGCAAATTTAGCTGTTGCATAATGTTTAATTAATAGTTTATATAATATTTAAGTGCTAAATAAAATAAAACCAAGTACGAACAATCCAAACCATAAGACAGAATTCGAAGTCCTAAAGAAAGACGTGATAGATAGATTTAGCTGTTGTATGTTTAAATGATATATTTGATATATTTGACCAGCTACAACAGTTGGTGGTGGTTATATAAATGGTGTAGCTGAATCTGTAGCTACAAGTGGTATAGTATGGACTCTAGCACCATTAGGAATATTCCTTGGTCTTATAGCAGGTAATAATCTCTTTCAGTACAAATTCATTTCAAAATTTAAATACATTATAATTGTGGCACTGGCCTAGGATTCATTGCTAGGCAACACATCTTAACGTTATTTTGCTCGTGGATTAACACCAAACTTGATTAAACAATCTGTCGACCTCTCCAAAGAAAAATGGCTGATATATAATCTCTATGTTAATTTAATAGGTGGTGTTATTTATGCGAGAAGAATGAGAGAGAAAAAATATTTAACAATGTTAGATCCTTTCCAACAAAGATATGGATCTGTAGTGGTGATATTAATTTATCTAGCTTCTTTATGTGGTGATATATTCTGGACAGCATCAATACTCTCAGCATTGGGTGAGTACCTTGTTCTATACTGTAGCATTGGGTGAGTACCTTGTTCTATACTCTAGCATTGGGTGAGTACCTTGTTCTATACTCTCAACATTGGGCGAGTACCTTGTTCTATACTCTCAGCATTGGGCGAGTACCTTGTTCTATACTCTAGCATTGGGCGAGTACCTTGTTCTATACTCTCAGCATTGGGCGAGTACCTTGTTCTATACTCTCAGCATTGGGCGAGTACCTTGTTCTATACTCTCAACATTGGGTGAGTACCTTGTAAAAAAAGGAGAATTATTACATAATATATATAAATAATATGATGTATAAGTCAAGGCTTCAAATTTACAAGGGATTAAATTATGTTGAAAAATAGTACTTTGAAAATTCCCCTTTGTCGAAATGTTACAAGGGCTAAGCAGTAAACTTAAATATGGCAGTTTTGAATCAATATCTTATAAATGGCCGTAACTTAATTAAGTTAAAATTGATTGATTTGAATAATGTTTGAAGTAAAATAACTTGTGTAATATGGTCAGTGTAATAAATATCTAAACTTGACATGATGGGCCTTTAAAGTGGCTATATTTCTGTACAATGTTTACCTTTAGAGTATAATATGCAACAATCGGAATCTGTTGGGTGTAATAAAGGGCCATCATGAAAGTATTCACTCATTTTTTCAAAAGTGATATCACTCATAAAATTTGACACTTCTTTCAACTTTTACCAGAAAGTTTTTTATAGTCTCTGATTTAACTTTCTTAATTCTGTAGAAATATATCTATGTGTGTAATTTTTCTTCTTTTTTTAAAGGGTCAAGTCTTGCTGTAATGACTGGCATTGATCGACCAATAGCTGTGTGTGTCTCATCTGGTATAACTGTTATCTATACAATGATTGGTCAGATGATAGCAGTAGCATATACGGATATAATACAGTTATTATTTATAATTGCTGGTCTGGTGGGTGAAATGATTTTTTTTATTTATAATTGCTGGTCTGGTGGGTGAAATGATGTTTTTTAGTTGAATAGGAATGGATTTTGGTTAGATATTGTAATGGGATTTCAATACAACAGGAGTAGGCAGTGATATGATGTTCCATAGGGTTAGATATTATAATAGGATTCCAATAAAAAGGGGGTAGGCACAATCTGGTTAAAACACAGATCCTATTTCGTTTCATTTTTATAGTTCAAAATTTCGTTTTACTTGTCTTTACTACACTTGGATCTGGAAGAGTTGTTATTTAACTCGTGTTCTGAATGGTGTCAGGGATAAGGCAATGAAACGGTCTGACAGAGCGAGCTATAGGCGTGTTTTGCACGGAACTGTGGGTAATCCACTAGTAACGTCAATGCTGATTGGTTAATCAAATGTCTGACGTCATAGGGTCATAAATCGGTCTTTTGACCCCTGACGTGACCTATCGCTATAACTTGTCAGATCTTCATGTAGTGTAGGCCATTGAAAATATAAAAAAACGAAACGAAATATAGATCTGTATTATAATCAGATTGTAGGTAGGCAGGTCCATACTGTGATGTCCTATAGTTGCTATCTGATTAAAACTATTTATTTTATTTGTGGTTCTGAGTTTCTAGTCCGCATAAGATCAGAACATGAGTGGTAAACTGGATTTTCATTAAGAGATTAGTCAATAGTGGTGTTATTGATAAAACCAATATCAGATACTTTAAGTAAATCTATCGACCAATACAAATACCTACGACTTCATTTTTCATTGACATAAAGTGGATTTTCATCACATTGACAGCCCTATGGCATATCAACAAATGATTACATGGGTGTAGGTTAATGTATGATCTATTATATAAAACTATATTGATCAGTAAAACAGAATGTATTGTTTTCAGGGTATCAGCTTACCATTTATATTTACCAATGAAAATACAGGTAACATCAGTAACAGCTCATGTGATTGGTTAGGACATATGGAAGCTAAAGACAGTGGTGTATGGATAGATCTTCTTATTGCCATGGTAATAACAAACTTACACAGTATAATTGATAGCTATCTCCTTTATCTTGTTGTTAATTCAATTGATGGTAATATAGCATCACTCTTCTGGCGAATCTGTGGACATCAAATAATAACATTCATTTGTGATTTAATATTTCATACATATACATCAGGACACCGAACACCATTTACATAAATGTTATTATTTGATGGCTACAGAGAAAACAGAATGCAAATTTCATATGCATTATTCTCAATACTTTAAATATATCAGATTGGTCGGTTCACCAGAAATGCGATGATAGGTAGAATGTTGAACATCAGAAGAGTAAATCTTTATGTGGAGGTTAAATTTTATCACTATTTGAATATTTTAGACACTAGTACTCTTTTAATCTTTGTTCATTGACTTCAAGTTTGTTATTAAATGTTGTTATTTCAGTCTTTTGGTACGATACCATGGCAAGCGTATTTTCAGCGTGTTTTATCAGTAAGAAGTGGAAAACAAGCTCAGATTTTATCAATAACTGGAGCGTTTGGTGCTTTAATTCTAGTTTTACCATCTATATTTATAGGAGCTGTAGCTACATCAGCTAGTTAGTATCCTTCATCTTATATTTATATCTACCAGACACGTGGTTTCCCCTTGTCAGTGGTGCTGTCTAGTTGTTCGGATGGGACAATAAACTGCGATCCCATGTATACATTTGCATGCATGTAAAAGATCTCTTGGCAGTTGGAATTCGATATGCGAATAGGCAGTAGCGCTGCTGTCCGGGCCAAATTTCCCTCACAGAACATTGTATGACGAATGCCCATCTTCATTAGCCCAGTCGGAGCAGAACAGTGGATGTTAAAGCTCATTTCATTTTCTTTTTTTTTCATTTTTTATTTAGATCTAACATTTGTTTTATCCCATACTTCCGGGGCATAAACCGTATAAAATTTATATAACTAACCATATAAGTGTCATATAAAATTTATATAAATAATCATATAAGTGGCATAAAAAAGTGTCATATTAATAAATGAAATGGGGTTTAACGTCCTACCGTTCTGCTCCTATACTGGGCTAATGAAGACGGGCATACGCCATACAGTGTGCTATGAGGGAAATTTTGCCCGGGCAGCGGCACTATCGCCTACTCTTTTATTGAATTCTAACTGCCAAGGGATCTTTTACCTGCATTCCAATGTATACAGGGGACCTTGGTTTTTTGTTTCATCCAAAGGACTAGACAGCTGTCCTTGTCAGACCCTCCGTTCTGCACCACTGACAAGGGGAAATCACGTCAAAAAATCCTGATGAACTTTCTCGGCCAATGCAGGGATCGAACACGTGACCTCCAGGCTAACCACCTAAACACCGTGACTCCCCTCTGTAATAGAAGATCGAACACCCGACCTCCAGGCTAGCGAGCCAGCGTCTTACCCACCTAGCCACCGTGGCTCCCGTCATATTAATAAGAAAAGTGTCTTATAAATAAGTTTTGTATCAATAAGTAAAGTGTCATATAAATAGGGAGAGAGAGAGAAATTGAGTTTAACGTCCACTCGACACAAACCAGGTCATTTCGGGACTAACACATGGTTTAATTTTATTTCAATAATTCGCTTGCGCGTAGGGGTCTTTAGCAGTGGGAGGAAACCGGAGGACCCAGAGAAAACCCACGAGGTTGGACAGGCGGCCCTACTCCTTGTCACGTAAAACCGGGGATTCGAAACCACGCCAGTTGACTCAATGACAGGCTTTATGATACAGCGCGCACGTGCTAACCATTCAGCCATCCAACCCCCCCATATAAATGGGGAAACTGCAGATAAAATATTGATAACAACACTGTCTACTAGCTGTGATTTCTTGTATTATGGTAATTTGAAACCTTCCAACAATATATTAAATTGATGTTTTTATATTATAGATTGGAACAGTACATCATTAGGTAATAGTCCAATGGTATTAAATAAATCTAGTGATGTATTACCTTATGTATTACAAGAATTTACACCACCTGTTATATCTTTATTAGGTAAGTCAACAGCTATATTATTATAACAGCCAACATGCCCAGCATCATATTATTATTATAGTAAATGTATTATTTTATTGTAGGATTAGGAGCTATATCAGCAGCTGTGATGTCATCAATGGATAGTGCTATATTAGGATCATCATCAATGTTTACTCATAATATATACTCTAATATACTCCGTAAACAGGTAAGTCACATCTATAATTATATACTCCGTAAACAGGTAAAACATATACTTTGTAAATAGGTAGAACATAGTTAGTAATTGAACTGGAATAAACAGTCACAATTCTATGGAATACAATTACTGCTTATTACTGAGTTTGATAAAGACAGCGGAAATGTCGCTCATTAATAAGCAGTAATTGTATTCTATAGAATTGTGACAGGTGAAACATAATATACTTGGTAAACAGGTAAAACGTTATATACCTTGTAAACAACAGGTAAATCATAATTGTAAAAAAAAGAAATGTCTCTGGTTAATTGTAAATTGTGATTGATGTTCAGTGCTTCTCTTTAGGATTAACACGATTCTGTCAGTTGCTCCGTCCACTCCCTTTATTGGGATTTCTTGATTTTCAAAACATTTCACTTACCTCTTCAAAGGTTCTTTAGGTTTTTTTGTCCCCCGCCTTTCGAAGAAAGCAGGGGACTATTAAAATGGGTTCGTCCGTCTGTCTGTCTGTCCGTCTGTCTGTCCGTCTGTCTGTCCGTCACACTTTTTGGGACACAATAACTCTCTTCCTAATTGAGCTAGAATGTTCAAACTTGGTGTATGTGTTTATTAGGTCAATGCCTTGATGGAGTTCGAAGATGAGCATTTTCCGCTTAGGGTAAGCAGAGATAAGCAATTTGATTGGTTGATGCTTTGGGACACGATAACTCTCTTCCTAATTGGGCTAGAATGTTCAAACTTGGTGTATGTGTTGATTAGGTCAATGCCTTGATGGAGTTCGAAGATGAGCATTTTCCGCTTAGGGTAAGCAGAGATAAGCAATTTGATTGGTTGATGCTTTGGGACACGATAACTTTTAATTGAGCTAGAATGTTCAAACTTGGTGTATGTGTTTATTAGGTCAATGCCTTGATGGAGTTCGAAGATGAGCATTTTCCGCTTAGGGTAAGCAGAGATAAGCAATTTGATTGGTTGATACTTTGAGGCACGATAACTCTCTTCCTAATTGAGCTAGAATGTTCAAACTTGGTGTATGTGTTGATTAGGTCAATGCCTTGATGGAGTTCGAAGATGAGCATTTTCCGCTTAGGGTAAGCAGAGATAAGCAATTTGATTGGTTGATGCTTTGGGACACGATAACTTTAGTTCTAATTAAGTGAGATTGATGAAACTTGGTGTATAGTTTCATTACAGTAATACCTTGACTAAGTTTGATAATGAGCATTTTCTGCTCAGGGTAAGCAGAGCGATACGCAATTTGATTGGTCGAGACTTTGGAAAACAATAACTCTCCTACTTTGATTGTCCCCCGCCTTTCGAAGAAAGCAGGGAACTATTAAAATGGGTTCGTCCATCTGTCTGTCTGTCCGTTCCGCTTATGGTAAGCAGAGATAAACAATTTGATTGGTTGATCTTCGAATTGAGTAAATGTTCATGCTTATTGTCCCCCGCCTTTCGAAGAAAGCAGGGAACTATTAAAATGGGTTCGTCCGTCTGTCTGTTTGTCTGTCCGTTCCGCTTAGGGTAAGCAGAGATAAACAATTGGATTGGTTGATGCTTTGGGACACTATAACTTTAGTTCTAATTAAGTAGATAAACAATTTGATTGGTTGATGCTTTGGGACACTATAACTTTAGTTCTAATTAAGTGAGAGTGATGAAACTTGGTGTATAGTTTCATTACAGTAATACCTTGACTAATTTTATATACTTTTAAGATGGTTGTAAGTTTTTGATATTTATATATTATTAGGGTAAAACGTTAATTTTATTGTGATCTATTTTATACTTTCATTTAACAGATTGCACAATTAGTAAACTTGTTACTTACTGTGTTCTGTAAATTCAGCACACAAATATTCTTGGTTTACTAGTGCTGTGCCATTAAAGAGTTAATTACTGTATGCCATAAATTTTGATGTAATTTATTGTCCTCCACCTTTCGAAGAAAGCAGGGGACTATTAAAATGGGTTCCTTCGTCTGTCTGTCTCTCCGTCCCTCTGTCTGTCCTTCTAATTGAGCTAGAATGTTCAAACTTGGTGTAGGTGTTTATTAGGTCAAGGCCTTGATGGAGTTTGAAGATGAGCATTTTCTGCTTTGGGTAAGCAGAGATAAGCAATTTGATTGGTTGATGCTTTGGGACAAATTAACTTTAGTTCTAATTAAGTGAGAGTGATGAAACTTGGTGTATAGTTTTATTACATCAATACCTTCACTAAGTTCGATAATGACCATTTTCTGCTCAGGGTAAGCACAGCATTAAGCAATTTAATTGGTCAAGACTTTTGAACGTAACAACTCTGCTTTTAATTGAGGTAGAATGTTTAAACTTGATGTAGATGTTCATTAGGTGAATGTCTTGACTTTGAGTTCAATGATTAACATTTCGAGCTAAAGCCAAGCTGAGCTAAACAATTTCATTGGTGGATGCTTTGGTACAAGATAACCTTGATTCTATCTGATATAGAGTGATGAAACTTGGTGGATTCTATCTGATAGAGAGTGATGAAACTTAGTGTATAGTTGATAATCAGTTTGATTGCTTCTTGATACTTTTGAAAAAAATAAATGTGCGATTAATATGTGTCATCTATTTATTTTGGGATTTCGGCGGGGGACATCAGCCTCACTGTTGGCTTGTTTAATAAAGTAAATGAAATGTTTGTTTTTTGCAGGCTAGTCAAGTGGAGTTACAAATAATACAACGATTAGCTATTATATGTTTAGGATCATTAGCTACAGTGATATCTCTATCAGTACCAATACTCTATGGATTATTTATATTAGCAGCCGATGTGGTATTTGTCATCGTCCTACCACAACTGACGTGTGCTATATTCTTACAAAGAACCAATACTTACGGAGCTATCGGTGGATTTCTAGCAGGATTCATTTTACGTGTGGGAGCTGGAGAACCAAATTTTCAGCTTCCAGCTTTTATATTCTATCCTAAATATGATCCTGAACTTGGACAGCTTTTTCCTTTCCGGACTTTCGCCATGGTGTGCTCATTTGTAACTATTGTGATAGTATCGGAGTTAGTACAATTGATTAAAAGAAAGTCTGTCTGTTCGTGTTCAAGTTCGTCTAATACAGAATATAATTATAACATCGTGGATGAATCGAAATCAAGAAAATGTTGTCATGTTAAATCAGATGATCTCGAAGAATTAACCTCATTATAGTTTACATTGTTTCCTTTTATTCTTGTCAATGGTGAATCCACTGTGGTCCCTGTCAAAATGACTGAGTTCACCAGATAATATACCCGGTATTTTATTTCTTTTTTGAAAAAGCTTCTGCTGGGCATTTCATATATCAGCTTGTAGCAGTTAGCTGACGTAATTAGTTCAATGTCTCGTTTCAGTAATCCTATATTTTAGTCAATGCCTTGTTTCAGTAGTCCTATAAATTTGTTATGTTTTTTGTAAAAATGTTGTATGGTTGTGTTTTTGTTGGATAGTATATAGTATGATACATATTTTAATGTGAAATTGTTATTTTTTGTTACTAATATATCTTTGTATAACTTGTGCGATAATCTGTAAATTAACACAATAAGACCATTTCCTGTTATCAAAGTTTGAATTTGAATTAAAATTGGTTCGTTCTTCGTCTGTCACACATTTTTTCAGACAATAACTCTCCTCTCTCCTTTTAATTAAGTTAAGCAGAGATAAGCATCTTCTAGTTGAGTTAGAATGTTTAAAATTGGTGTTATGTGTTTTAAAATGAGTAGTTTCTGTGAGTTGGCAAAGGGAAGTAACTTGTACTTTGTCAAAATATTATTTTTGGACGTCTTTTTGATAGTTAATTTCTTGAATCTTATAGTTAAGATGAAAAACAGGGATGTAGAATGAAGGGATTAAAAACTCCTTCATAATCTTTCAAATTATCTTCTTACTTCGAATCTCTAAATGGTTAACTGTAGACCATTTTAAGAAAATGTTCCTCATCTTGTAATTTTATTATTGGTAATAAATGTACATCAGTGTGATATAAATATTAATTGACTAAATTCTAATGCGAGTTTCTACTCATACATAGTCTGATATTAATTGACTAATTTCTACTCCTAGTCTGATATTAATTTGTTCTACAGTAAAATCAAAATATCTATTTACAAATGTTTGTATAGACAAAGGCATTTACATATCCGATCAGGTTTTATTTTGTTTTTTTATATGAATAGAGTAGACCTTGTTTACAATAATGGGTACCTCACAACAACTGGTAAGAAGGTAACTTATTAGTCAATTCATCATATTTCACTGGTCCCTTTTTTTTATACGCCCACATTTTCATGTGGACATATATTGTCTTCACCCAGGTCACCCCTGTCCGTCCGGACATCCGTCCGTCCACAATTGTTTGTGCACTCTACAGGTCACAATTTTTATCCGAGTTCAACAAAACTTGAAATATAGGTTTATCTCCCTAAGATCTCGGTTCCTTTCGATATTGGCAAGTATCGGACCGTAACTTCATGGATTATGGCCCCTGATTGTACGAAAAATCGTGTTTCTAGCTTGTGGACCCTATAGAGGTCACAATTTTTATTCGATTTTGTTGAAACTTGAAATGTAAGTTTATAACCCACAGATCTTGGTTCGTTTCGATATTCACCAATATCAGACCATAACTTCCTGAATTATGGCCCCTGATTATACGAAAAATCACGTTTTTAGCTTGTGGACACTATAGAGGTCATAATTTTTATCCGATTTAAAAAAACGTTCAAATATATCACCGTTAAACCATGATGTTTATTGAGTTCGAATTTTGTGAAAATTTGGCCAAAACTGCCGGACAAAATGGCCGCCCCTCGTATGCAAATAGTGTATAACATTGTGTAAAAGTATGCTACAAAGGTTGTGGACCCTCTAGAGGTCACAATTTTTATCCGATTTGATGAAACTTAAAACATATCTTTATATCCCAAAGATCTCAGTCCCTTTTGATATTTGCGCATTTCAGACCATAACTTTCTGGATTATTGCCCCTGATTGTACAAAAAATCCAGTTTGTTTCTAGCTTGTTCTCTATCCATCTCTTGCAAAATGTAGGCGTACCTTGCCTGGCAGCCGCTGGTTTAGAATCGTAGTCACCTATTTTGTAAAGTATGTGTACCTGGAGTAGATTGTGAAACATACTACTTATTCCATATATTACAAGCGACATGTAGCTGAGCGAATTCCAGATTGATCATTATTTTTATATTTATATAATATCATGTACTATGTTTACAATAGATCTGTTTGTATAAATATCTAAATGTATTTAAATATGAATTTTTTTGAATGAATATATCTGTTAGAAATGGTAACATTATAATAAGTGCTACGCGATTATATAAAATCCAAATTAAAATAAATAATTATTATCTATATTGTCAGCCGTTTTTCTTTTCTACAAGATATTAAATCTCATTCAATTCTGTTGTCAGAAATCTTAGATATAGAATATGTTACAATAAGCATTATTATCTAAAATATATAGTTGTTTATAATACAGGAATTATAGAGGGTGGGAGGGGGTAACGTCCACTCGACACAAACTAGTTCATTTAGGGACTAACATATGGTTCAATTTTATTTAAATAATTGGCTTGCACGTAGGGGTCTTTAGCAGTGGGAGGAAACCGGAGAAAACCCATGAGGTTGGACAGTCGACCTCACTCCTTGTCATGTACAACTGGGGAATCGAAACCATGCTAGTTGACTCAATGACATGCCTTATGATACAGCTCACACCAGGCTAACCATACGGCCATCCCCCCACCCCCCAGCCTTTATGGTTTTTAAATTCACTCTTTAGTTCCTGTGTATTAAAAAAATAACTTATATTTGCGCTCCAGGTAAAAAGTCTAAGATATTTTAACTTTTTATTAAAATGTGAAAATCATGCATATTAATCACTGTCACTGCTAAGCTACTCACTTTGTTAGGAACCATTCCATAAAATAACAGTATGAGATAGTATAGAAGCAGACTGGATATATAATTATAAATTCCTCGCCATAAAGGTACTCTCCTGTTACCTACCAGTAATTATTTGTATGATAGTCATTAATAACAGCTAGTTTTAACTCATCTATCAAACCTCGCAGCCTTAGTCTCTTTCTACAAGACACAAACATATATAATTAATACATCTATACAATAATTCTTTTGTTACCAGATGATTTTAGAAGTGGGAAGAAACTGGATGAAATAGGATGATGACCTCCATATAGATACCTGAAATATACCCAAGTTAATGAAGACAGGCATACGTCATACAGTGTTCTGTGAGGGAAATTTGAATCTGAAGAACTGGGGAATAGGGATGTATAGGAAGGTTGTCTCACCAAGGGCAGGAGGAAATGTTCCGGAATATATTTAGGATGTGAAGGCCATGTGCTTAGGTTTACAGGTTTATTCCTTCTCAAACTGCTTCTTATTACCCCACTTCTTACTATAGCAAAAATTACCCATTGCATAAAAATCCTTGCCCTTGAAGTATGAGATTTGCCCCCCCCCCCATTACCCTTCCAACAACACCCGTATATTGAACACGTAGTTAATCTTACCAATATTTGGTCCAACCAGCATCTTGCATGCTCTAATTGATTAATTATCTAAACTCAACCAACCTGCGTACCAAAGTAACAACACATCACATATTATTATTCAAAATTAAACAACACATGCAAGTGTATTCCCTTTAAGCTAGACTTTAGTGTGACCAAGATTTCTAGCATTGGAGAGGGCACACCAATATAGCCCTCAATGGAGCAATATGAAACTGTTTTCAAGGGACTATTAAATGGGTAGATTGTGATTTAGATTAATTAAATTATTTCTGTTAGCTGTATTATTTATCCAGGACATACCCCAATATCGCGTACATCACTGGGTTTATTTGCAAATATAAATCCTGCCGCCGCCGCCACATACATTATTATTGATATTTTTACAAGTATGTAAATAGCAAGCCTACATATTAAACTATACAACACTCAGTTGACCCTACAATAATTGATTAGTTTGATTAATTTCTGAACAACACGTTTCTTAATAGAAGTATTTTTAATTTTGTTTGGTCTAAAAACCCTGTTTTTAACCTTCTAAGATTGTTTCTGGCATATTTAAAACATTAAATTTTGACTCGAACAGCTCAATTTGACAACGCCACAACATTTTTTATGAATTATAAAGTTTGTGAACTGTGACCGTTTGTTGAATAAAGCATATGACAAATGAATACAAACATTATATTGTGTGATGGCTAGCTTCACACCTGAGTTACCACATTAACCAGGTAATTCCTCGTACTTCTAACATCCTTCTTGCTGTGTATAGAAATTGTATTAAGTGTTTTTCTACAATCTGTGTACTGTATGGCGCGTGTTGACGTGTATACAGGTACATCGTATATACAGGTGGGAAGTAAGTGTTGTCAGGTAGACATTGTTTATATAGATGTAAGATGCTTCACCTGTGATAGTAAATGTCAATGTCTTATATAAAACAACTAATGGTCGACTAAAGCAGGTATTTCAATTATATTCATCTAAATAACTTAGATATTAGATTGTTATTGGAATGGTCCATATATTGATATGTTTACGTTAACGCTTGAAATTTTAGAAACCCGATAGTTTCATTCGTATATGTTTCTTTTATCAAAGCAGCCTAGGTCTAATTTAACTTCTTTACTTAAAGAGACATTTTATGTGTTGGATTATTTGGCTGATTGTACTACAGGTTATACAAGTTTATTATGGCGGGTCTTCAACTTCAAATCAGATTTACTATAATAATGAGATGAGTCTAATATCAAGAAGATTTACGATATTGAGATGAGTCTAATATCAATTTACGATAATACTGAGATGAGTCTAATATCAATTTGAAATCCATGAGATTTTTTTTCCGTTTTAGTGTGAGTGATGAATGCTGTTTAACCGTTTTGGTGTGAGTGATGATGCCTCTTTAACCGTACAAGTATAAGTTGTTAATTGAGCTATTTGTCGTTATTTATGGCTCTTCAATAATTCAACATTCTTCTCCCCACCAGGCACTTTTGATGTTTAAACAAGTTTATAGATTTAATCGTCGTCTTTTAATATTCTAGAGAACGATTTCTTTTATTACTATTCATTCGACATCCATGACCTTAGGGGCGGATCTAGGGATTTTTGCAGGAGGGGGTTTGCCAGGCTTCTGTTAAGGAGATTTGACAGTTGACAATTAGGAATACATACACATTGAGCTTTTTATGAATTAATACGATCACATTGTGATTCAATTTCATTGATGCAAAGAATTAATTGTGATATCACACATTTCTATATCATAATATCGCGCTTTGAATGCCCATCTCATCTCACAACCGTGACTTTCCACATAAAGTGTTGTTTTACAATTTTTCATATGTAGCTGAGCAGGGTGGGGTTTGGGCCCCCTCACACCTCCCCCATTCCTCTGGATCCTCCCCTGGACTTTTTGATTTTCTTTATATTATCATCACCTGCCACCTGTATATCTTTGGTTTGTTAGCGGTCGGTGATGAACTGTTTGTATCCGAACGGAGGACCCAGAGAAATCCCACGTGGTTTGGCAGGTGACCTTACTCCTTGTCAAATACAAGCGGGGAATCAAAACATTATAAATGTTATAACAAACATCATTTTAATCGTCAGAAATATAAACCTGATAAAACGCTATGGGCATAACTATTATAAACTGGAGCCCAGAGGAAGAGTTGCGTCCCTTTCTTCAACCCCACGAGCACCGCCTAGCTGCACCACTGGAACTAAGTATTTTAATATTGATTGTTAGATATTGTTGAATAATCTACATGAAGAACTGTTATTTAACTTGGTTTTTATATTCATATTTTTACTCTTATCATCGATTACGTTAAAGGATCATGGAGACCTAGGCTCAAATTCAATATTTTGCTTGGAATTGCTTCTTATTATAACCCATTATGTGTTTACAAGAAATCTCAGTGTTTGTAACATGTTGGAGAAGATGATTTAGATCTGTTAGGGTGTTTCATTTCACAGAACAGATTAGACCACTAAAATAAAACCAGTATATAAATATTGGAGGAAAAAACCTCTTTCCCTTCTTTGTATTCTGTCAATGCACGTTTTAAGCACACATTTCTCGCAGCGTTCGTGTGATTTATTAGCAGTGTTTATCCCCCCCATTCGAAGGACTAGACACACTCCCTTGTCTAACCTAGCAGGCGACAACTCTGACAAGTGGGAATCGGTGCATAAAATCAGCAATTTTATTTTCTACTCTGATCAAAGAGTGAGTGTCATTGTAATAAAAACAAACGCCCGATTCCCACTTTTCGTGAGCATTGCTGAATGTAAATCAGTTTATATACATTCATAATATATTATTATATGCGTTGCGACCCATTTGTGTCAATTTTTAGGTGCCAAATATTAGGGATTTAGCTCCTTTAAGATGTTATATAAAACAAGAGGTCTGTCCGTATACACACCTGTCTGGATGTAAACAAGAGGTCTGCCCATGTACACACCTGTCAGAATGTAAACATGAGGTCTCTCCATGTACACGCCTGTCTGAATGTAAACAAGAGGTCTGTCCATGTACACACCTGTCTGAATGTAAACAAGAGGTCTACCCATGTACACACATGCCTGAATGTAAACAAGGGGTCTGTCCATGTACACACCTGTCTGAATGTAAACAAGAGGTCTGTCCATGTACACGCCTGTCTGAATGTAAACAAGAGGTCTACCCATGTACACACCTGTCTGAATGTTAACAAGAGGTCTACCCATGTACACACCTGTCTGAATGTAAACAAGAGGTCTACCCATGTGCACACCTGTCTGGATGTAAAAGATCGCTTGACATAATTCGATGAACGGTATAGACGGTAAATAGATTTTCCTGCGGTTCAGTGAACCGTATTTAAAGGATAATAATTTATCTCCAGATACGTAGTGATACGAGAGGTATGAAGTACTATTTGTCAGAAAAAAGTATTACGGAGACATTCAGATCGAAGCCGCCAGATTCAAAAGACGTTTATGCTTTTTAATACAGAGCAGGGACGGAAGAGAAACATGCTTCCCGATCAATGAAGAGTATACCATATAATAGAATTAACTGTCTGCTAGTCTTAAAATAACATATTGAGTTTACGAAACGTTAAGCTTTCCTCACAAACTGTCCTAGATATTGTTACATTCTGTCGGGTATAGGTATTGTTACATTTTGTCAGGTAGTTATTGATTTATAATATATGATATATATTTATATATTAATACTTATATTGTACTGTATCAACTCGTCATGTGTCATGATGATATCATCTGAGGGGCGGTGGTTCTAGCGGTAAGAATGTCCCGGGTTCGAATCCCGGCGTGGGTAGGTCAAGAATAAACTTGGGATTTTTCAAGCCTGGTTACCACTCGTCAGCTATAGCGGTTCGATCCATCCATGTACACAGTTAGAAATTAATGAAGAATGGGTAGAAACCTATCACAGAGCGTTAAAATGCATTATGTCAAAGCTAAATTTGTTTATTGCAGGTCTTTCTTTTGGCTTCAAATGTTATATAAACTATTATTTAATGACAAGCCTACAATCAGCTCCCTAGATCATCCGGATGGCCGAGATTTGTCAAGTACTGATACTACGATAATAAATGATCTACGCTACATCTTCAAACAGTCATAACTTTGCCCAGAATAAAGAAATTTGAATGAAATTTTCAATATATTTATATTGAACGATTATAGCAAGAACTGTCAGCTCTTTATCTAAATCTTACATAATGTATCTTTAATCTTTACGATCAACGGTCGTTATATATTATATTTAAATTATACGTCTAATAGAATATCAGTTCTGGTGGTGTGTAATATTTGCAATATGATCTATCATGTTTAATATGCTTTATATATAAATCTACATTATTATAAATCTGATCGGCTATTTATTTAAATCAGATATAGTTACATTTCTCTATAATTGGTTGTGTCGACTGTTATACGTGTACATACGATTAGGTTGTATAATCTTAGATTCAGCGCCATAGAGAAAATGGCTATCATTATACCATACTAACTACAGATTCGATTTGTATCAATTATTTTCAAAACAGGCTGCTTTGAGTATAATTATTGTGCCAAATTTGATTTATTTTCTGATTTTAAATTCTACACAGTTTCATACAGTCCGAATAACAGACATGGTTGAATATATTGTTTCCTTGGCACGTGAGTGGTATATTAAAGGTCCTATATACACCTTTGCATGGAGTGGTATATTAAAGGCCCTATATACAGCTTGTTGGCTAGAATAATGTCGGGTATAAAGCTGATGTCGACATAACATAAAAGGTTGATAACTATTCACTATTTATTAGATGAGAAAGGGGTTGACAATTGTGTTTAGTCGAGCTATAATACTACTGGATGTTCTAGTCGAACTATAGTACTACTGGATGTTCTAGCCTAACTATAGTACTACTGGATGTTCTAGTCTAACTATGGTACTACCGAATGTGCTAGTTTTATGTATAAGGAAATTAAAAAAACTTTCCCATCAAATATTCAAAAAAAAAAATAAAAAAATATTGACAAAATGAAGTAGATGTACTTCTTTTAGGCCTTTTAACTTTTGTATTTTCTATAGCTGGTTATTCAACACGACATAATGTTTACCTTAATTAATTCCATTCCTTGGGTGTTTCTAGCGCACCATGTTAAAGCTGCAGATTATCGGTAAATGAAGACGGACACGCGCCATGCAGTTTAAGGTGATGAAATTTTTGCCCAGACAGACATCTGAACGAATAGACATTGTTCTTTGTCAGGCCCTTCGTCCTATGTCACATGCAAGGGGAAACCACGCCGGAAAACCCGAGGAACTATCTCGGCCAACGCCGGAGGGGGGGGGGGGCGCAAGACCTCATATTTAGGCAGCCTGCGCTTTACACACGGAGTCACCCCGGCCCCCTTAATATCTAGCCAACTGTCAGCCTTTCATACGTGTTTATAAATCTGCTTCTAATTGTGGTAGAATGTTGACTGCGTTCGACGACGCGAATCTTCTGTTAAAGTTAAGCAATTTGATATTTGGAATATAATAAACCAGCTTGAGGTACAATGATCAGACTTGGCGTAGATGTTCATTGAATGGGAGTGTTGAAACTTTGTGTATTATAATTTGACAATGAACCCTTTCTGTTCAAGTTAGGTCGAGTTGTGAGGAGGGTCAATCTTCAATCCTACTAATGCAGATTGGTTTGAATTTGAAACATTTTATAACGCCCAGTGAACTCGTGTATATTCTCAGTTTAAAATCTGCTCAGAGAAAACATTTATTTATTTTTGATTTTAAGTGGTCGTGTTAATCTTACGTTGACCCATACTTTATTCAACTTTCTAAATAGCCTAGCTCATATACGTGACCTTCTTACTAATATATCATCATATAGTTTGGCTTATAGCGTGACCTTCTTACTAATATATCATCATATCGTTTGGCTTATAGCGTGATTAATAATAAACTGAACCTTATACCACACCGCGAGGAATTAAATTTTAATTATAAATACACGGTATTGACTCATCTTACTCATGCTTTAAAAGTGGCGGTCGTTTTAACAATACGTTTATAATAAAACTTCCAATATTTATCAAATCTGTAAGGCTGTATAAAATGAAAGGTTGTATGAAATGAAAGGAAATGCGGTTTAGCCCTCTTTTTTTCTGCACCGACTGGGCTAATGAAGACGGGAGATGTTAAGGAGGCAACATGGCAAACAGTCAACCTACAAAAAAGTCATTACTTCAATTGGGACTAATAAGTCTTGGTAATCCTTTGACTTCGATGATAGCGGATACAAATCAAAGATATTTCAAATGATTATAGATGCATAATGATGGTGACATGGAATCAAAAGAAACTAATGTAAACTTCAAATGATCATAGCCGCCGAAGTTATTTTTACTTTGCTTATGTAAATGTGGACACTTTCTGGTATTAGCCCATGTTCTCTGGGATTTTCCAGCGTGATTTGACCTTTTTAGGGGTGCAAGAGGCAAGGCCAGTGGTTGGTCGTTCGGATGAAAAACCGAGGTCACATGTACATTGGTGTGCACGTGAAAGACCCTTGACAGTTGAAATTCAATTACTGCCCGGGCAAAATTTCCCTCATAGCACACTGTATGGCGTATGCCCGTCTTTATTAGCTCAGTATAGGAGCAGAACTGTAGGACGTTAAACCCCATTTCATTTCATTTCACCGTCTCTTTAAACCTTTATAAATGTTGTATTACTACTATACCATGCTATATCGGTTTTTATACACCTATAGACACTAGTATAGAGCACAGCAGTGAATGGATTATATGAATACCTGTACAATACCTGTACGATACCTGTACAATACACCTATAACTATATACATGTGCTATTTACAGTTTATTGTAATATGTAAAACGATAAAATAAACGGTTGTTTACGTGTTATGTGGCTATTTCTAAATGACATAGGTAAGGCGAGTAATATTTTAAATCTATTTGTTATGTTGTAGAATTCTGCCTATGAATGTTGATTGGGGACGCTATAGATCGTTATTTCGGATTATGTGATATTTTGTGACGTGTTGGACAGCGAGGAAATCTGTGACCAGTATCCAATAGAGGCTCTGTGTTGGTGAGATATTTCGGCTAATATCTATTAAAGTCAGGTCGTGTTGATCACTGATTCTTCACGAGGAACAACATCGAGGGTGGGTCCACGAAAAGCCCAATAGTTACATCTAGTTCATACAATAGTTCATGCTATGGTGGATTTGTACCATATCTTAGCCACGTCATATATTTGACACTTGTCAAGAAATATGATTAATTAGTGATGAAGATCAGAATGAACTCCAGGGGGCGGTGCGGGGGGGGGGGGCAGAAACTCAGGGGGTGGGTGCAACCCCCCCCCCCCCCCGCACCGCATACCCCATTCCATCCCCTTCACTTAGCGACTGACTGAAGAATGCTTCTCGTTTCTGTGTATTCCGAGGACACCTGACGCAGCAAAAGATGACTTTTTTTGCGGGAGTGGGGGGGGGGGGCGTTTTGTTTAAAGGCCCTGATTCGAATTGAACAATCGAGTTCTTCCTAATGTTTGTTTCTGTGAATGATGACCCTAATAAAGTTTTAATAATTTAGTTTTTATTTCTTATATTACAGGGTATATGTAAAATACAACTATTATCTATAGCATCTTGTATATATATATATTGTTTGTATTATATATAATAACCTACAACAGTTAGATATAAGACTGTCTGTTATATAAATGTCATTTCAACCTACTTTAAGTCGTGGGTTATTGTCATTGAGTGGATTTAACTAACCGAGACAAGATCTTCATAACTACATAATTTCAGTTTAGAAAGGCACTTGTTAAACCTATATTTTATAGTGAAACATCTCTATTTTTATATAAGGTGTATTATTGACCCGATATGTTGACATTTTATCTTAGTAAATATGGTTATAGATCCACTTCATCCACCTACTTCATAACATAACTGCCATTTTTCTCAGCTTTTCAACAAATTGATAAAATAGTTTTCTAGGAAAAAGTCCTACGACCAGGGCGAACTCTGAACAATGAACATAGTGACAAGACAAGGGCCCACGATAGGGGGTCAAAGAGGGCATTTTCCCCCTGTATGTTTTACATGATGAATTTCAAAATCTTTTAGAAGGGGCCCCATCTGACACCCATCCCTAGTTGAGAGTGGGTACAAATGCCTCTTTAATTATTAAGGATAAGGAATGATTTTTAAATTAATATTTTACAGTAAAATGGATATAAGCGATATTAATCTGCCTGGTCTCATCTCTGTCATCGTCTTCTATGTCGTCATCCTATTGGTTGGAATCTTGGCGGCAAAATGTGTAAAATATAAAGATACCGATACAAGTAAAAGTGAACAGTCTGTGCTGGCTGGTAGAAGTCTACATGGTGTAATTGGAACGTTAACTATGATTGGTTAGTAATTCTATTAATATTTTAAATAAATTAAACTTCGTAATTCTGTTAATATTTTAAATTAAAGATCTTAACCATGTCATCAGAAAAATCTGAATTTTATCAGATCTTTATTATTCATTTTAGGATATCTTGAGGTTATAGATAAACCTCTTTTTGATGTGGGGTGGCGGGGCGGGGGGAATGGTTAACGCGTGCACGTTGGGTCAGAGGGTCTGTCCTTAAGAGGACAAGGAATAGGGTCGCCTGTCCAATCTCATGGGTTTTCTCCGGGTCCCACGGTTTACTCCCACTGCTAAAGACCCCTTGCGCCCAATCGAATTAGTGAAATAAAATTGAACCATATGTTAGTCCCGAAATGAATTAGTTGAGTGGACGCTAAATTTTGCTGGTAACAAGATCTTCACTTTGATTTCAAATTATCATCCTTTGAGATTCATATTCTTTTATCGGATATCATTTTTATCCTCCACGATTGACACCACAGATGAATTTTGTAATGTTGAAAATGATCGGGCAGAGAGGTGGGTAGTAGCTTGGAAGTTGTCGATTACCTTCTACGATTATTTGAATGGTTGCGGAATCGGGTTAATATTTACTCGAAATGTATTTATTAGAATAGATCGAATCGCATAATATCTAGTGGAGACGTGTCATGTATTCAGATATCTTGTAGAAAGGGTAAGTAGGAGGGAAGGGGACAGATGTCTTGTAGAAAAGGCAAGGAGGAGGGAAGGGGAAATATATCTTGTAGAAAAGGTAAGGAGGACCGAAGGGGACTTACACCATTGTGGTAAAGTCATAATTAAAGACCAAGCAGTAGAAATTATAATAGTAAGCAGCTCTACTATAACCGACTTGAGTCAGACTCCTATTTTGTGTGCTAAAAAATTGATATTTGTGCAACCTCTCAAGAAGCACAGAAATATTAAACCCACCTATAAGCTAGATTAAGCGAATTGTTATTGAATAACTAATTTCTGCTTTCAGCAACTGCTGTGGGAGGTGGTTTTATCAATGGAACATCAGAATCTATTATAAACTTTGGTGGTTTAGCCTGGACTATTTCACCATTTGCCATCTGTGTTGGATTAACACTTGGTAAGCAAATATCAATATGATATTATTCTTGTTTATAGCAATATTTTTGTATATTGCAGATGTTTGTATGAATATTTAAAAAAAAAGTTCAATCACGCCCGTTAGAACATCTGAAACCAGATAAGAAGTCCGCATACCCATGGACCTTAAAGTTAGACATAATTTCTGTATTTAGACAACTTTGCTGGTGAAACATCTAATGGCTATTACTATAAGAAGCTTCGAATTCGGAATTACAAGCCAAAACTACAATTACAAGTTCAAACTACAATTACAAGTTCAAACTACAATTACAAGCTCAAACTGACATTAAAAGCCCGAACTACAATTAAAAGCCCAAACTACAATTAAAAGCCCAAACTACAATTACATTGGTAATATGTGTCGATCTTACTGGTTTAGTGCAACTGATACCACTAAAGTCACTAAAGCTATTTTTTCAAGAAACTACAGTTACAAGCCCAAACTACAATTACAAGCCCAACCTGCAATTACAAGCCCAAACTGCAATTACAAACCCAAACTACAATTACAAGCCCAAACTACAATTACATTGGTAATATGTGTCGATCTTACTGGTTTAGTGCAATTCATACCACTTATTATTTATTATAGAAGTTACTAAATTTTTGTTTTTCAAAAACGAGTTATCCTGATTTTTTCTAAATGTATAGCAAATGTATAGCAAGATGGTTTGTTTAAAAACTCCCAAAGTAATATAATTCCCTTTCTTGTTTACACTGGGCAGTATAAATTTGATGATTTTACAGGTGGTTTGATATATGCTGGTCGTATGAGATATAGACAATATGTAACTATATTTTACAGGTGGTTTAATATATGCTGGTCGTATTAGAGATAGACAATATGTAACTATATTTTACAGGTGGTTTAATATATGCTGGTCGTATGATTGATAGACAATATGTAACTATATTTTACAGGTGGTTTAATATATGCTGGTCGTATGATTGATAGACAATATGTAACTATATTTTACAGGTGGTTTAATATATGCTGGTCGTATGAGATATAGACAATATGTAACTATATTTTACAGGTGGTTTAATATATGCTGGTCGTATGAGATATAGACAATATGTAACTATATTTTACAGGTGGTTTAATATATGCTGGTCGTATGAGAGATAGACAATATGTAACCATGTTACAACCAATGGTGGAGAATTTTGGTCGTTTACCTGCTTTCTTGGTGTATCTAGCTTCTCTAGCAGGGGATCTCTTCTGGACAGCTTCAATACTCAATGCATTAGGTACGGTCAAATTTATTTTATTAAGACTCCCAGATATTTTAATCAATGTTCATTTTCATCTGAAAGGAAGTTAACCAATGCAGCGTATTTGGGAAATTCATATGACTCTCACGTTTTTTTTAAATTATTTTTTTGTAAATGTTTGTAATTTTACTTGTTTCGTTTACTTTGATGCACAAGCGAAAATATTTAAGACCATTCCTATACAACCGACAACTGAATTTCAGTGTTAGTTAGTTACTAGAGTTTTACGTCCACCTCACTTGGGGTGATATCGTAGAGAAGTTTTCAAAGTGGATTTAATTTATCATTTATTGGGATTAGAAACAATCGTGGACTAATGAAGGAGCCCTGTTTTATATATTATAGGGTCAACAATCGTTGACTAATGAAGGAGCCCGGTTTTATATATTATAGGGTCAACAATCGTGGACTAATGAAGGAACCTTGTTTTATATATTATAGGGTCAACGATCAGTGTTATTATTGGTTTAAACAGGTTAATATCTATCTTGGTATCAGCTGGTGTAACTGTATTATATACAATGATTGGTCAGATGATATCCGTAGCTTATACAGATGTTGTACAACTCTTCTTCATTGCTGTTGGTCTGGTAGGTAGCCACAGTTATTTACATGGAGAGAGGGGGGGAGAGAGAGGTCCATTCGACACAAATTATGTCATTTCGGGACTAACATACGGTTCAATTGTATTTCAACAATTCGTTTGTACAACGTAGGAGTCTTTAGCAGTGGGTTGAAGCCGGAGGAAACCCACGATGCTGTATGGGCGATGCTACTCCTTGTCGGGCACAAGCGGGGAATCGAAACCAGGCCACTTGACTCAATGACAGGCCTTATGATACAGCACGGACGTGCTAACCCCCTCATTAATCTCATATGATTCAATTAAAGCAGATTAGTTTCAAGATAAATTTAAAGTGCTTGAGTGATGGACTTCCGTAGAGGTGGAAAGATAGTTTATTCAAATCTGTGGGTGCAACGTCTTAGAAAGGCTTTTAACATCCCCCGACGAACACATAGTTGTTTATTGATTAAATGATAATAGCGTATTAGATGGAATTTATAATGCCCAAAGAAAGTCGGGTACTTCGGTCCACTACCATCTGGACAATAACAAACATTTGATCTTGATTTGTTGAACAGATGACCAATGTAGTTTTTTCAACAATGGATTGATATGAGAGCGTGAGGTCGACCTTGTAACAATGCAAACAGCGCTGGATTTTTTTTTCGCTATATATATTTGGTGAATTCAAAAATTCTTTAATATTTTATGTTATCGCCATTCCGTTTATAGCTATGTATATATATTTCAGGTTATCGCCATTCCGTTTTTGTATTTAAACGATTCTGTTGGAAATGTATCAGAAACATCTGATGTATGGATAGGATCTATAGATAAAACACGGGCTGTAGCTTGGGTAGATCTGGCTATTGCTATGGTAAGTAACTTCACCTTTAATTCTGATATATGGCTTCTATTTCCTGCAAGTTCCCTGGACGAAACTTAGCTCAGTATTAATCGTATTTTCCGGTGTATAGTTATATATTTCCCATCATATGGCTGTGCTTGTTTAATTTTGTCAAACCCCAATACATCAATATTTCCCATGATATAAACCCAAATACATGAAACCCTAATAATTGAAAAATGAACATTCTAGTTGAAAGGCCATCGTCCTACCTCACGACAACCTCAACCTACTCCCTTTCCTCTTTCATGTTAAATATTCCACGACCTTCTATTACAGAGGGGAGTCACGGTGTTTAGGTGGGTAAGACGCTGGCTCGCCAGGCTGGAGGTCTGGTGTTTAGGTGGTTAGCCTGGAGGTAGTGTGTTCGATCCCTGCATTGGCCGAGAAAGTTCATCAGGATTTTTTGACGTGGTTTCCCCTTGTCAGTGATGCAGGACGGAGAGCCTGACAAGGACAGCTGTCTAGTCCTTCGTATGGGACAAAAAACCGAGGTCCCGTGTATACATTGGAATGCACGTAAAAGATCCCTTGGCAGTTGGAATTCGATATAAAAGTAGGCAATAGTGCTGCTTCCCGGGCAAAATTTCCACCATAGCACACAGTATGGCGTATGCCTGTCTTCATTAGCCCAGCATAGGAGCAGAACAGTAAGACGTTAAACTTCATTTCATTTCATTTCTATTACAGATATTAGGAACCATACCATGGCAGTCATATTTCCAGAGAGTTTTATCAGTAAGAAGTGTTAAAGAGGCTAAGATATTATCTATTATAGCAGGATTTGGATCTTTATTGTTTGCTGTTCCACCATTTTTAATTGGTGTTTTCAGTACAGCAACAGGTATGAAAACGGTCAGAATTAGATTACAAATTTCGTATTATTATTTTTTGATGTTCACATTACACTGAAATCTATCCAACTGTCTATCTATACAGGAGTCTGTAACGAACAGTTTTATTCATACCGGACGAATAACCTGCTACAATAACCTGCAACATATCACAATGACTTGCTACAATAACATGCAACACATCACAATGACCTGCTGCAATAACCTGCAACATATCACAATGACTTGCTACAATAACCTGCAACACATCACAATGACCTGCTACAATAACATGCAACATATCACAATAACCTGCTACAATAACATGCAACATATCACAATAACCTGCTACAATAACATGCAACATATCACAATGACTTGCTACAATAACATGCAACATATGACAATGACCTGCTACAATAACATGCAACATATCACAATGACCTACTGCAATAACATGCAACATATCACAATGACCTGCTGCAATAATCTGCAACATATCACAATGACTTGCTACAATAACATGCAACATATCACAAAGCTTCGGGTAGTTCGAAGATTAACCAATTTACTCACGTCGATCTCTACATATTACAGTTGTTATCATGGATTGTACATTTGGCTGTAAAGAAGCACCCTATCAAAATGCATATCTCCATTTATAGTGTGTCTTATTACATCTTACAGATAGTCCTGTGTCTTGTTACATCTTACAGATAGTCGTGTGTCTTGTTATATCTTACAGATAGTCGTGTGTCTTGTTATATCTTACATATAGTCGTGTTGATGTTATATTTCCCATCAACTCTACATGTATATATCCTTATTTTCAGATTGGAGTAATGTTTCTATAACATCGGGATTAAATCCAGTAGCGGCTAATGTATCTTCTATGGTATTACCTTTAATGATACACGAATTTACACCGTTACCTGTAGCTATTATAGGTATAGTACACCTTTCATCATCTATACCTAACGATAATTCAACATTGATTGTTGTAATTTAATTATAATCATATCGTATGATCAGAGAATGAAGACTGTTTGATAAAAGCTAGTTCTTTGCATGTGACGACATAATAATGCCTTTCACTTTGTCTGTATCGTGGTTTTTGACCATGACCTTGATTAGACAGTAGAATGGTCCGTATCGTGGATTTTGTTTGATATGTTGACCTAGAGTCACAACCTGTACATTAATGAAAACCTCCTGTAAAAAATTGTCTAACAATATTGCTGGGGAAGGCGCAATATGGTTAAAACACAGATCCTATTTTGTTTCGTTTTCTTTAGTTCAAAATTTCGTTTTACTTGTCTTCACTACACTAGGATCTGGAAGAGTTGTTATATTACTGGCGTTTTGGTTGATGTTAATAATTAAGAGTGTTTTATGCTACTATTTGTGTTTTCAGTTTTGGGTGCTATTTGTGGGGCTGTGATGTCATCAGTGGATAGTTCAATTCTAGGATCTAGTTCTATGTTTACTCATCATATATATAAACCTATATTTAGAAGAAAGGTACGTATCTGGATTTGACAATAACTAGTTAACCACTTGCCTTGCATGAATGAATGAATGAATGAATGGATGAATGAATGGGTTTTAACTCATAGTTTTCGACTTACCTGTAAATTGACAGGACATGATTTGGCTGATATTGGATACTCCCAACTGACCTTGGGACCAAATTTGTTCTTACCATTCATGATTGGTTTCGTCGACTCGAACCATTCCTGATTGTTTTCGTCGACTACAGCACTCCACTTCGATCCCATCGAATATTAAACTGGATAAAAATAGCGTCAACTTTGTATACGACATTAGAGTAGATAAGTCTTTAACTCAATATCATCGACATTGAAAACACAAATTTATTTGTCAATTTAAATCGACATTGATGTTGTGATCTTACCAGGAACTGATGGGCTTCTGATATCCAATATTTAAGACAAAATAAACATTTTACCTATGGTACACGAATCGTGTACCATAATGCGTTTCAGCGCCATTTGTAACAAGAGATTCAAAATCATATGCAACGGTGACGCCATATTCTGATCTGGAGAGCATGCTTACGTTTTCTTAATTTCATAATAGTTCAGCTCCGGGCCGTCCATGAGACGTGGTGGTGGTTGCTGGGATATAACTTGCCCTTCCTCCTGAACAAACTGAATATATTAAATACAAAACTTTGAATTTATTTTAGGCAGGCGATACCGAACTAATGTGGATACAGCGAGTTGCTATATTTTTCATAGGGGCGGCAGCAACAGCAATGTCTATATATGTTGATACTATATGGGGGCTTTTTGTCCTGGCAGCGGATATAGTGTTCGTGATAGTTTTACCACAACTTACGTGTTCCTTATTCTTATCAAAGACAAATGGTTATGGTGCCATATTGGCATTTTTTGCTGGAACTGTTTTGAGACTCGGTGCAGGAGAACAATCATTGAACTTTCAACCTTTTATTTTTTATCCATATTATGACTATGAAACTAATGAACAATTATTTCCATATCGTGTTTTTGCCTTTGTGATATCTACTTTTGTTTTGATAGTGTTTTCTTATATTATGAGATCTGTTTTTAAGTGTGGATGTTTACCGAATAGTTGGGATAAATTTAATGTTTTAGAGCATGGAAGCGTCAAGTATGATCTTAGTAAAGACAACCCTCTATTTACCATGGAAACGTTTACTGATTCTAGTTACCGAGTACGGTGATTACACACGCTCACTTCAAGTTTGTTTTTTTTTTGAAGAATGTTTTGAGTTTTTACTGAGAACCATGTTGTTATTAATGTTTTATTCTATTTTTGATACAGTTTGTAAAATTATGTAATAAATTCAAGATTTGTTCCTAATAAACCAGCCACGTTTATATAAATATCGGTTGCCAGGCAACGAAACACAACCACGGTAGCACGGAAGACTAAGGGTTGTCACCTTGCTGGATAAATGGAGCTTGTCCTGAGACAGGATATTATTCCGCCTTCCAGAACATCGGATAAAACCACGCAAACTTGGGCTTGGGTAAAAACAACCAACCAAAGTATATTCAATAGAAGGTTTGATCTCGCTTTAACTCCGTACATTTTATCAAGTCCTTCACGTAATAGCCTGCATATTTCGGCACTTATTTCAATTGGCTACTGACCCAGCTGGGGACCCTATCAGATTCCTCGACCATCGTGAATACCAAGTCTCACGCTTTCCAGCTAAAATGTCTACCCGATAATCAAGTTGTAAAGTTCAAGGTTCGTTCATTGTCAAGGTTTCTGTTGAAATCGCCGTGTGTGATTTGAGTATGTTTGTGTCACAACATCTGATTGGACGCTGTCCTTCACGTGCCTGCGTTAAAGGGATATAACGTAGCTATAAGTTCGTGAATTGCGGAGGGGTGTGTCGAACAACGTCTAGATGTTGTAAAACTCGCGGTCGTTGCTTCATGAACATGCAGCCAAAGTTGGGCTACATGTACACATCTGAAACATATGATTTAAACAATATTTTATTCAATATAATTACATATAATCACACAATTGTACAGTCTAAAGGATACGAAAACAAGCAGCATGCTAATGAATATTGCTCCCCATAAAACTACCTCTTACTTCCACCAATTTATCAACCTCTTTCTAGTCACGAACCCCCTCCAGCACCACCCATAGTCACTCGCCAATATAAATTAAAAGATTGTTTGAACTGTATCGTTTTATTCTTCTCATGATACAAAGTTAAGGACTGTGGTGGGATCTAGTCCAAATCATGCAGTTTGTTCATTCTTTACTACTGAAAGAAAATTAGCCTTTATTGCTATTGTCACTTTCAGGCAGACCACTATTGTTTCCATATATGTATATACACGTACCCAAAACTGTTCAACTAGTCTCCTATGGTCAGCGCTCTTTTAGTTATCAAGCACCTGTTTTATGGAATAATCTACCATTTAGTTTAAGATGTTGTACATCTCTGTATTCTTTTAAAAAACAACTTAAAACACATTTATTTAATCAGGCTTTTAACTGACTCTGTATACAATCGTTAACATGCCCATAATCTTGTTTATGTGTGATTTACATTGTCACTTTGTAAAGTGCCTCTGAACATGTTATATGAAAGGGTGCACTATAAATATGCTGTAATAATAATAATAATAATTATTATTTTAATGTATAAATTATGGCCACGTGTGTCTGGACCTGTGATTTCCATCCCACCCAAATAGATATGTTAAACAAGACAAATTCCAAGATGTTTAGAATAACAAGACAACAAAACTTTTCCTCAAATATTGGGATTTATTACAAATCATAAAAAAACGATAACCTAAAATATCCAAAGCCCAATACACGAACATAGTGAACAATTATTAGACACTTTGATGACAGGTAAAATAAATGATGATGATATACAGGTAGATATTCATTGACATAAAAATAAACAATGGATTTACAGCAGTTTGATTAATATTGATTTATTGATTTAATTTACAAATATGAAAAAAATGTGGTGCAGTTCAAAGATAAAAATTGTGAAGAACAAATTAAAAATGACACATGTTTTGTGAATATAAATGGGGGTTAATGAAAACGAGATAAAACAAATAATCCAGCGTGTTCTCTATTATTAAGGAGATCCCATATCCCTAGTTTCTTAAAATAATTTTTACATGTACGGGGATGGAAGTCGTTTCAAATTTTATATTTGTCTTTAAAAACATACTGTCCCAACTGATCAAGGAATATTTGTGAAAACATCAAATCATATTAGAATTGTTTGGTACAACATTCCTGTTATCCAATACTAACAAAATACTTGTGTTTACGTGAAGAATTTTTCATACAATACCATCTAGTTGAAATATCAAAGTTTGTGTAAAATTTTGTCAAGGCAACGTTCACTCTCAGAATCTGCCTAATAAAATAATATATATCAATAATAACATAATTAGCAAAAATTCATATTCAAACGCATTTTGAATGAAAGCTGATAAACTGGATATTCAGCAATAATTACAAACCAAGCAACGGGCATTAATCATATTTTGTACAGAATGATTTATCTCCCTTTAATAAAACACCACTACTGATGAATGGTGGGCTGATATTAGCATGTATAATCCAGATATGGTTTTGATTTTATCAATATGAATTAGGAAACCTCAGTTTAGATAAACCCTAATGTCAATATGAATTTTAAGATAAGAAACAAACAGTTGTGTTTATTATATCTAACCTTGACTTATATCCCATAATAATCAACGTGTAACAACCGTGTATCCTTGATGGTTTAAATAACCTAGATAAGGCATGCACATAGATCATTGTATCTCCTGCACACCTTTAATCGGTAGTAATTTAATAGAAATAATTTCAGACTTTACATGGTAGTTCCACTTACAGTCCAGACATTTTTTAGGTGGAGAGATTCGGTCAAGAAAATTTAAACCTGTAGCATTTAAAAAAACAATTAAACCCCATGTTTACAAATAAAGAAACACTGTCTCGACAACATTTTAGATTTAAAATTCAAAGTGAATCCGCTATTATTGATACCACGTTGCTATAGACAAAGATGAGAGACAAGATTAATGATGCATTAGGGCAGAGCTAAATCTACCTATTGCGATTAAAGATGCATTAGGGCAGAGCTAAATCTACCTATCGCAGGTCTTTACTTTGGTTTCAAATGTTTTATAAATTATTATTTAGACATATTATTATTATTATAATCAACTCTCTAGTTCATCGGATAGCACAGATTTTAGCCACATCTTCAAACAGGTATAACTTCGCTTACAATGAAATTAATGGGTTTTTCGCACGTCCACATATTTTTCGATTCAATGGACTTCTTAGTCTCATGAACATAGAAACCCTGTGTACGAGTCAACGAAATGATATTTTAGAAATGTCCCCCACTTTTCTGCATCAACTGGGCTAGCTAATAACTTTAGCATCAGGAGTATTTACAGGCAGGGGTGACACCTAAATACATCTACTGTACTACATTTTAATGTGGGTGTATGAAAATAATAGAGATTACATATTTAACTGTAAGTACTGGTTGAAGTGGAGCACAAATACATTATATGACCTGGATAGTTTTAATAAGACAAATCTAACATTGACATAAGGTCCCAGGTTATAAATGAAGGGAAACCACCAGAGATTAGACGAAGATATCTACATATTATGCTTATTAAATATAACCATCTACTGTACATGTATGTAGTAGTGATTATAAAGTTAAGAGATCCATAAACATAGTTAATCTTATCTATAGACATTGTTATCAAGTACACAGAAACTTGACTACATCATACATGTAGTAACCTGTACATGTACATGTATATTTCGGGTATAGCAAAAACAATACATTTGATAACGTCATCACAACTTTGATCTAATACAATTTGATTCTGAATTCATACTGCTGTACCTTTAGAAACATATGATACATATTTCTGTTAGTTTCTCAGGAGTAGAACTCTATATTTGATATTTGTCATCACAAATGTGACTTAATACAAGAGATTTTATTCCAATGAGGATTATACACATGTACCTGGATAAGGCCTGATAAGTCCACTTGACTTGAGGGCGAGTTTAATGTCCCTTGATATCGCAGACAAAATTGAAGTCCAATATAAGTCCACATTTATATAGGTCATATATAGGTCATTACTCGAATTACAAATACAATAAAATTCAATTTATTCTTATTCTATGTTGATAAGCTTTATATATTTATTTGTCCATACATGTTAGTAAAAATGTAGGTATATTTAATGTAAACAATAAAATTTCTTTGGAATTTGTGTAAAAGATGAACTGACAAATGATGTAACAATAAGCCAACACAAAACATCTGTATCTGGTCCATGAAGATATTTTTTTTCATTATTTTTTTTTTTTCACAAATTACTGAATTAAAAATTGCCAAAGTTGGTCGATTTAGAGATTAATGATCAGCGTATTAGTTCATGCAACAATCATTATATCAAATACATGTGACACATCAAAATATCAATGAAATTTAGCACATATCTTATGAATGAAACAATTCAAATGTATAAATGTATTGAATGATTTTCAGATGCAAATTCGATTACAAAAAGTTCATTTTCACAATGAAAGAAGGTAAACGTATAAAATAAAATGAAATAAAGATGAATTATGTACAGATATTTTACAAGAGATAAAAATATTCACACAGAAAAACAATAATCCGAGAATTAATCAGTTATCTTCACATTGGTTCAACTTGGCAACCAGGGGCTGCTTTCCATGTCTACCTCTGACCAGTAAAAATCACTATGAAGACAATCAAGAAGTTCTCTGATTTTATATTTTATATGGAAGTTACTATGAGAATGAGATGATAGTCTCCAATAGGACAACATGAGATGATAGTCTCCAATAGGACAACATAAAAATTTTATACAAAAAAAAAGGATCTTTGGAAGCTTTTGATTAATGTAGAAGTCTACGATTTAGAAAATGAATTGAGGAAACATTAGTCTTTATTCATAGTCTTAATCATTAAACGTCAGCCATTAAAGATGACAGCAGAAGACAATTTGTAGATTGCACTAAATTATTTTAATATGGGTACATGTATCGGTAGACGTAGGATTAATAAAAAAAACACGGGGGCTTGCGTAAAGATATTATGAACAGAAAAATAGGCTTATTTCCTCAAATCAGATTCTCGAATCTAGACTACACTTTGCACAACTTAATGATGCTGTAGTAATTTAATTGATAAACAGACATGATCTACATGTACATTTGTATGATCTACCCAACTCATCACGAGATCAGACAGACTTAATGATCTACCCAACTCATCACGAGATCAGATAGACTTAACGATATACCCAACTCATCACGAGTTCAGATAGACTTAATGATCTACCCAACTCATCATGAGATCAGATAGACTTAATGATCTACCCAACTCATCACGAGATCAGATAGACTTAATGATCTACCCAACTCATCACGAGATCAGATAGACTTAATGATCTACCCAACTCATCACGAGATCAGATAGACTTAACATCGTCACAACCACACAGCAAATAAATTGCACATTATATTTCTTATGTAAAAAAAAAATGAACTAATTATGAACTACAATTTACAAAAGTCACAAAAAAATCTAAAACTCAGACTGAAGTTTCTGAATTTAGACGTAAAACAAACTTATTACTTTTTGGATCTATAACTTCCTCTGTCAGACTAAAATGTGGGATTTTCCTCACTGTACACAGAAGTGAAACTTCGCCTTGACGAAGTTGAAAGTATGTTCCGTGTTCAATTTCGCGCGTTAACAACTGATCGCACACTAGCACCCACCGTTGCATGGATTTATAGTCTTTTTCATTCATTATAACAGCACCCTGGCTTAAGTATTTTTCTACGAATGCTCGAGGACTAATATCGTGGCCGATACACACGGCCAAATGGTTGAGCACCGATTCAAAAGTGTAGCGAGGTTGTTGACGTGTGATACGCAGATATTTCTGTAGAGCTCTAGCCATGGAGGGGAATACTGCCTGAGCGGCTTCCTGCGGATCCATTGGTATAGCTGGTCCTGTTAAAACAGAGGACAATAATTTACTAGTTATACAAACATTGCCTGAAATAATAAATAAATACTTCATGTTATCTAACAATTAAACACATCAAACACTATTCTACAGAGACTACTACTTCTACTTCACGTACATGTATCTACTTCTACTCCATGTATCTACTTCTACTCCATGTATCTACTTCTACTCCATGTATCTACTTCTACAACCCCAAACCATTTCTAATACAACATCAATTGGTGCAAGGGTGATGTGCATAAACCAGTGTGACATGTGCATAAAATACATGTATTTCACTTGCATGTGCATTCCTAATTTGACATGAATTAATAAAGGGATAACAAGTACAAAGTTAATTGCCCACTAAATGGGAACAAGTCACATATTTTGGTATGTATGGAAAGTAGAAATATCCAATCTGTCTAGAAAAATACTGGATTCCCTGAAAACACTCATGGAGCGTATACAGGACAAAAATGTAAGGGTTTCCCTAATCAACAGCCCGACGATTAGGAGTGTCTGCACGCGTGACGTCGAAGGTTGCACGCGGAGATTGAGTGCTTGATGTACATTTTGATAAACTTGAAGAATTAGACGTACAACACTTTCTGAGATAAAAACGGAAAAAGATGCAGGCAGTGGATAATCCGAAAATTTAATTAGGCTTCGATATTTGTAATAAATAGTCAGCGATTAAAGACAACATCGTCTTGTGTAGGCAATGAATTCTCCTCCGACTTCGCTTGCGTTGTTAGGTACCGAGTGGGTACACGTAAGTCACATGACACAAACAGGACCTCTTTTGGTGATTTTTTTATAGCCAGGTTATTCCCGACAATTGCAATGTTTTGAGAAGGATTTGAAGCAAAATTATGATAAATTAATTAATTTGAGTATGTTTTTAGTCCAAATACATGTATATCATGAAATCACCATCAAACCACCCAGTTTGTACCCGGGAATGTGTCTTTAAGTTCCACACCTTGGGTCCCAATTCACTGACTGTAGAGTTGTTAATTACTAAGGTGTGGTAGACATACATGTTCATGCACTTGTTTAAAAAAGCTGGATCTCTTTAAATTACACGTAGCTTTAAGAAATAAAGTGCTCATCTAAGGTGTTATGTTTAATGAGATGACAAAACAAATATTAGTAGTAAGCCCTGTGCACACCAAGGATTAACCTATAGGATAAAACAATCAGTGAACACCATCCACAACAATTTCCTCATGTCTCCATGGCTTATATTTAAGTTCTATCATGATTTATACATATAAACACAGTTGCCTTCATCAGATACATTTAGAAATATAGATGGGTAGTCATTGATGGATTGTCTGCCATAACTGACGAAACCTCAAGACCAATAATCTTCGATGTGTCCAGGCCTTTAGACAATATTCAACTCAGCACTTTCATATTAAATCAATGTTATATACAATAGAAAACAATTTTAGAGTTGGCAGGAAAATAGTAAAATACATACCTTGTTCCTCCTGCATTCGTTTAATATGAGAAAAAGCTTCTTCGGCTGCTACTATTAAACGGGCTTTACGTTTTCTAATACGTCTTTCGTACTCGGCTTCCTCGTAAAATCTATCATTATGACTAGCATCACGTCTTCTGGCAGCAGCAGCAAATACTGCTCTAGAACGACCTTGTTGATTTGTCTGATTTGGTCCCCCATCAACATCGTAAACTTTAAATCCAGTTAGTTTGGCAGGCTTTTTAGTAGCATTTTCCAAATATGGATTGTAGACTTCAAAATCTTTATAATACTGTTCCAGCATCCAGACGGCTGCTCTTTGAATACTCAATAATCCAATGTTGTAACACTGTGATTTGCCGTCAGGTGACCTTACGACCTTGATGACAAATTGAGGTTGAAGTTGCCGTATTTCTAGCAGTGCGACTGCTAGGTAGTGTATAAAAAGTAAACCGTCAACTAAATATACGGCAAACTGAACAATGGCGTAATAATGAGTCTCTCTCGCCTTTAAGATACGAACACCATAAAATAGCCAGAAGGCAAAGGTCAATACAAACACTAGAAATAAAACAACAGCACGGAATACAAAAACTCTTGGCATGGTGGCTTTTGGTTGTCGGAAAAATAAAGCAATCGTTCCCAGCAGTAGAATCAAAAGTTTAAAGGCAAAACTGATGAGGAGGCCTTCACATTCCGGCCGACACTGCATAGGGTCTATTTCAGTACCAAAGGTCAGCGCCTTCCACTCAAAAATACCTAATTTGGGTAAGACAATCATAGCAATTGGAGACAAAAATCCAAAGATACTGAGAACGGCAGCTAAAGCTGTCCCAACGTAACGAGCACAATCAAAGCCTACACTATAACCGTCATCCATTTCTTTTGCGAATTTTCTCATATCTTCCATGGAGAAGCCGGTTTCACTGGTATTACCAGTAATGGCGGTGGTGTTATCGCCCCAGTTATCATCTTGTTGTATAACTTGAACCTGTATTCTCTCTTCTCCTTCAACATCCGACCCTTGACCTGGCGTCTTTATCGTTACCGAACGATCATCCCGGTCTCTTTCTCTGCGGTCTCTATGATTGCTGTTTGGTCGCCCACTCGAACCTCGATGATGATGTTGTCGAGGGTGATGCGAGCTGCCATGACTACGATGTGACCTCTCTGATCTTTCGCTGCGACCTGACCTGACAGACTCCCCACCATCCATTTCTCTTTCTTATCTTTCCAATTTGCTATTCAATATCTGAAATATAGAAACACATCTTTAACTGGATGAAATGGATATCAAAATATATTAGTTTAGTAAATTACAAGAGCTTTTAATACCACACACATTTTGAACGAACAGAAGAGGTTCATGTTACTAATAAATATATTAGTGGTATTATAATAAAGTTATAATGGTAGTATATTTAATATAATTTAGTTAAGGCCATGTATATATAAAAATTAGCTTTCTGAGATGCTCTCACATCACTTAGGGCAGCATAAAATACAGATAGGTTGTCAGGCAACGACACATATGCCCACAGCAGCTAAATTATCCGAGCAGTCGACATATCTATTGTTTTGTAGGTAATTGGGAACATTTACAAGACAATTTTATACAGATCAGATTATAATTTTTATCGTTTGCGGGTTTACATGGTTCTACAAAATGGAACAAGAGCGTTAACTCTGGAAGTAATTAACAGAAATTGTTGAAATTCAATAGACTTCTTCGTTTCACTAATTTAAATGATGCATATAAATTTCATACAGATCGGATGATATCTTTTGTCGATTGCGCATTCACCATGGTTCAAAAAAATGAAACAAGGACCATAAGTCTAGATGTACATGTAAGAAACAGAAATTGCTGAAATTAAATGGGCTTCTTCGTTTCACTAATTTATATGATGCATATTAATTTCATATAGATCGGATGATAACTTTTGTCGTTAGAGTGTTCACAAGGTTCAACAAAGTGAACAAGGGCAATAACTCTTAGATGTAATTAACGGAAATTGCTGAAATTCAATAGGTGTCTTTGTTTCACTAATCTAAATAATGCATTCACACAGATCGGATGATAACTTTTGTCATTAGAGAGATCACACGATGCAACAAAGTGAAACAAGGGCCATAACTCCAGAAGAAATTAACGGTAATTATTCAAATTAAATAGGCTTCTCATCTCACTAATGTGAACAACATATATCAATTTCAAAACAATCAGATGATCAATGTTGTCTGTAGACAAGAAATGTGGACGACATGTGGACGGACGGATGGAGGCATCGGCAGTGTACGACTACATGTACATATTCATGTGGGCGTATAAAAACTGTCCCATTAATTATTCACATAAATATCAGAATGGAACTATAAGTGTAGGCCTACCATAGACTCAATTATCAAGTATATAACCTTGATAAATGTTATTGACAAAATCATACAGGATAATCATACATTTCTAAAGATCCCGAGAAGGTTCATCAGGATTTTCCGACGTGGTTTCCCCTTGTCAGTGGTACAGAAAGGAGGGCCTGACAAGGAGGGCCTGACAAGGACAGCTGTCTAGTCCTTCGGATGAGACAAAAAAACGAGGTCCCGTGTATACATTGGAATGAACATAAAAAATCCCCTGGCAGTTGGAATTCGATATAAGAGTAGGCGATAGTGCCACTGCCCGGGCCAAATTCTCCTCAAAGCACACTGTATGGCATATGCCCGTCTTCATTAGCCCAGTTTAGGAGCAGAACAGTAGGACGTTAAACCCCATTTCATTTCATTTCTACTCATTGATCCTTTGACAAAATAAAAATACAAAAAAAACATCTTTCTCCAACATTATAAATTTTATCATCTGAGAATCAGAAATATTATTTCTGTTTGGCCTTATGTTAATATTTATATATAGGCTGGCCTTACATGTATGTTAATATTTATCAATAGGCTATCTACAGAGTCTTATCAATAACAGTTTCGGTTCTGGCAAATTAATTTCTTTTTGTTAATTACCCATACCATAACTAAATGAGAACATTCTGATTATGTTAAATTATTTTGATTCTTTGCACTGTGTGACATCATAGCACACTCGTATGACTAATGTGATAGGTAATAGTCTTATAAATGTACTGAAAACATTTAGCAATAGTCTTTTGTTTCAAGTGCTAACAGAATATCTTTCAGGTAAAATGTCAAGGAGATGATTAAACTGCCAACAACACAAGTTAAAACAAGTGATGTAAAAGATACATACAGACAGACGGCTAAACATGAAACAGTCGGCCATTTTATCATCTGTGAATAATGGATGATCCAGGTCAGCCAACAAAAACCTGAGTCAATCAGAACTCTTCTTTAAAGCCAGGTGTGGAGGTAAAAAAACAACACAACAGGTAGCTATCATTTAAATGGTGAAAATTAAAGCAGGAATTACATCAAAGCTGAGATTTTTTTCTGTTGTTTTATCTCAAACATTATTTGTGTGTTTTTTAAATACACCACCAGATAAACACATAATCATATCTTTAAATTATCTACCATTTTTCACATGTTGAAGAAGAGAAACCATGGATTTGTATCTTGTATCAAGAACAATGATTTCTAAAATAGATTTTATATACCTACTGACTAGATTATTTTGACAATTATTATATTATATACGTGTAACTACTGGTTACATTATTTAATCTCTCCCTTATTTCACAAATATACTGAAAATGTACTGAATAAAAATAAAAGTTTTTAAACTGAACAATCACACCTCATGTCAATTTGGGAACAACATGTACATTTTAATATTTTTCTTACTTGTAGAAAGAAACTCTGAGAACCGATAGAAAACTAAAATATAGTGCACTTACATGTATGATCATTCTTGAATCAAATCATTATTGATAACATTGAATGCTAATTTTACTAGTAGAAGTCATTATTCGAATATTTGATTAAATCAAAATAATGCATCACCCCACTAAAATTTCTTCATATAAAAAAAAATAAATCTAATTTTATTACATCTCTTATCTGCTTTAATACAGGTCTATTATCAAATTACAGTATGTATATTAGCTTGTCACAAGATTTACGACTTTCCATGTCAATTTTAATATTTAAACATAATTTATTCTCTAACTTCAACAATCTGTTTAACTCACAGTATGTTCATGCTCCTATATTTCAATATGATATCATATAGTCGGCCAGGCAGTTATTACTGATGTCTGGGCCATATACATTATATTATCATTTTTTAATTTCAATTCTATATTCTAATATTTATTTATTAGCCGCAAAATATATTGTCCGTAATATTTAAGTTCAATGTAGGCTTATACAGTGTAAAGAAGCGATAATACATTGGTCATTTAGAAATTAACATCAATTCTAAAATCATGTGTGTAATGTGAGGGGGAGATCGAACTGTGGTGTTTCCACCCATATACTATATTGAATTCAAACTATCAAGGGTACAGGTACTTCTATATATACCCATGCATGAACCAATAGACATTGTCCAAGACACACACAGGTTAATTTGGATTTATTTACATATAGATGTATCGCCACAACTGAAAGTTTTAACATTCATTTTTATTGACTAGCATCAACTCTTGCCGGATGGAATTCGATATAAGAGTAGACCGTAATGCCAGTTTCCGGGCAAAATTTCTCTCATAGCACACTGTATGGCGTTTGTCCGTCTTCATTAAACCAGTTCAGAGCAAAACAGTAGGACGTTAAACCCCATTTCATTTCATTTCTTTTAGGAACAAATTTAGATTAGCACTGATTTGTAACAAGCTCTATGATTGGTGTGATCAGTTAGTAATGTCGTTCGTTAACAAGATGCATCCAATGCAGTACCTCAGGGGATGTTTTCCTGTGGTTTGTTAATAGCTGTAACAGCTTCATCCACTTTAACATTTACAAGGTTAGTCTTAGCACTCAGCATTGTCTCGTCTACGTATTAAAACCTCAATGTGCCAGAAGACTAATAGATATTTTCCTGTTTAAAATTTGTGCTTTAGATAATAATTTAAGGAAACCAGAATTATCAACATCATTTTTGAGGATAAAAATAGATATTTATACAGAAATAAAGATGGCGGACAGAAAGTAATGGGGAATTAGGATGGTCGTAATTTCTATTAAGTAGTACTGATTATTTTAACAATTTTTGGACAAATATGCTTTTAGTTAAACAAGTTTCTATCATGAATGATCTAGATTTTTCTGGTTTTGTCATGTGAAAAAAACATACATAGATCTAATTTTTTACTGTTTAAGTTTAATAGACACTAAAATATACTATTTTTAATGGATCTTGTAAAAAAATAAAATATCATCTGTATATAAGCTCCCAACTTGCAATTCACACAAATTAAAGAGATGTGCATCAAAAGATCTGATCTCAAACAGACATTTAAATGGCGCTATATCGTTTAGATCGTCTGGCGATCAGATGCCAAATGTTATAAAATTCTGTATTCACCACACCTACATGTATGTAACAGAATTGAACCATTTTTGGTCTTACACCAATTTTACAGGGAATTAAAAATTCATGAAATGGTAATGAACAGTTTGAACTATGGTTAAAGATACATTATGTAAAGCAGTGGACACATTAGCCGAATCAATCGGCGCCAAATTTTATTCGGCCGAAAGAGTGGACACACTAGCCGAATGCTTCGCCCGATTCACCAGTCGATTGCATCACCTTTCATGTCACATGATTAAACATGGCGGTGTCTATGTCTTCAAACTATCACGTGACTTCTCTATATGAGTGGTGATTGGCTAATGAATTCTACATTCGGCCGAATGCTTCGGCGAAGCAGACACACCAGGCGAATATAATTCGGCTGAATATATCAAACCTGTTTGATTCGTGTGAATCATTTGGCTGAATGACAGTGGACACACTAGGCGAATTTCGACGCCGATTGATTCGGCCGAATCATTCGGCTAGTGTGTCCACCGCTTTAGATTAGATAAAGAGCTGGTACTTCTCACTATTATAGTTAAAATTAGATAACGTAAAGAGAATATTCTAAAAATTTCAGTCAAATAGACCCACTATCAACCAAGATTTTAGTGACTGAATATTGGGGCTAGCCTCGATCATCATTACTAAAGTCGGTAGGATAAAAAACATAGTCTCGATTATCCATTTTTTGATTTAATTATGAATGGAAGTCTAACAGCAAATCAGAACATAATCCAATAAACATTGCAGGTTAGCGATGC